CTGGTGAATGATCTGGAAATACATCCGTTCTTCAAGCTGCAAGAAATCCCAGAGCAATTAGGGCAGACATTTGGTATGAATTTATGCGTGGGGTGGGTGCACTTTCGTTTTTGCTGGAAGTACATGTTGCTGTAATACTCCAGGCTCCCTAGACGGTAAAGGTAATTGCCAAAGCAAGCAGCGATGTGGTGTGTTGATTTATTTCCTTTTACTCTTCCAGGAACTCAATACAGCTTTATAAAACAATACAGAGTGTATTATCTTAAGGGATCCTCACGCTTTTAAATTTTTTTTTTTTACATTACCGGTTTCTTCAAAGCCCTTTCCTGGAGGTTGCTGATCCTTCAAGAACAGTTGATTGACTGTAACCCTGATTGGATCCCAAGGAGCAGCTGGGGAAAGGATACCCAGCAGTTTCCCATCAGGGTCCCAGGGCTTCGTCCAGCTGCCGGAAGTAAACTGCAGGCAGGAGCTTTTTACTTTTCACTTGGTTGCAGTCAGCTCCTTAAGTCCAGAGGACGCGCTGTCCCACCTGCACCGCAAGCGCTCCCTCCCCGCCCCATTCATTCTGGGCCACACGTGTTTCATCTTCTGGAAGAAGGGAATTCGGTGAAGACCCTGGGCACGTAGCGGTCAGCGGGCAGGAAGAGGGGATGGGATTCAAAAAGAGTGGGCCACGGTCCCGGACAGAAGGAGGTTGCAGTCATTCCGGGGAGGGGGGGGGCGGGCTGTAGGTTGCCTGTGCCCTGGAGAAACGGGGACCTTGACGGGGGCCCGCGCCCCGACGTCTCATAGGGCACTTGGAAGGACAGTCTAGTAGCACAGTAGTTTGCTTTTCCTAATAGTTCCAGATAAAAGTGAAAGAACGCGTTAATTCAAGTAAACGCTGGTAGCAAGCTTCGGGGAGTAGCCAAGCGATTTGGCCCTGCGAGGCCCCGCTGGGCGGTGCTATGCTACAGAAGACGGTGCGAGGCAGCCGCCCTGGTGGAGGCCCGTCCTGCGTGGAGCTGGGGCACCCCCCCTGGGCCCGTGGGCCGGCCCTGGGCTCCCCGTCCTCTCGGACCGGGGTCCCCGGGGGTGAGCGGCTCCGGGAGCCGCCGCGGAGCCTCCGGGACCAGCCCCCGCCAGCTCTCGCGAGAGCTCGGCCTCACGTCTCGCGGTGCGCGCGCGCGCGAGGAGAGGAGGGAGATCCGAGCGGCGCNGCCCATCATACGTCAACTCGAACTTGACTTATAAAATGTCTTCAGTCCTGGCTGGCCTCCCAAGCGCTTCTGGGGGAGTAACAGATGGGACAGGAATAACTAAATATGATTAGAAAGGGTGAGAGTGCTGTAATGGAAATACACATGATAAGATTTATTGAGAATAGCTGGGGGTGGGGGGAGCACCTTTTAGATGTGAAGACTGAGGTTTGCCAGATAAGCCTGGAAGAGTGGGGTGCCTGAGGGGCAGAAGGGTGTAGGGAGTGAGGGGTGGGGATGGGGGACTGACCAGCTCTTTTCAACACACGCCACACACAGAACAGCTTCCCAAATGTGTCTTAAAGACCAGCACGGCCACAGCGACAGCTAGCGTGTCCTCAGCGCTTAGCACATGACATGGTTCCCAGGCCTTGATACGCGCTGTCTCGCTCACCCTTCACAACAACCCTAAGTGGCAGGCACTGCTACTATTCCCACTTTGCAGATGAAAAGCTGATGCTCGGGGGCTAAGCACATGCTCCCGGTTACATGGCTCAAAGTGGGGAACCCGGGGGTCTGGCTCTCCAGCTGGAATCCTTCCCCCTGCAGAAGCTGGTCCTGTGGCCGGGCCTACCGCTCCCTCACCTCTTGGCCGCATCCTCAATGGTCTCTCCTTCTTCAACTTTGCCCCCGAAGCCATTCCACCGGCCGGCCCCGAAGCCCCGTTTCTTCATCCCCAGGAGAACTTGCTGAGGCTGCAGCACCAGGACCAGGGTGTAGAGCCTGGAGGTGCCCATGGCCCCCTTGGGTTCTAGAAGGAATGCAAGAGGGCCGGGTCAGCCTGACCCAGCGCGGACGGGGTTCGGAGGGAAGTGTGTGTCTTGCGGTCGCCAGGGGCCGGGTGGGCCAGTGTGTGCCGCAGAAGGCGGGCAGGGGAAGCCGGCCAACGAACAAATGACCCGGGTAGAAAGAGGCCTGGCCCTCAGACCATGAGGCCGCAGGTAAGGCGATGGCTGCGTCTTCCCTTCCCCACTCCTTGGCACAGGGCTGGCCTAGCTGTTTAGCCTTTCTGCAGAAGCAGGGCAGGCCAGCCCCCGTGCCCAACGGGCACCAAGATACCCATCGGTTTATCCCACGGTTCTGGGGTCAGGCCGTGGGCCTTGGCCTTTTCCTTGCTGGGACTTGGCTGCTGCCTGTCTGTGGTGACAGGCCTCCTTATCCCCAGGAAATGCAGATGCCACCGCGCGAGGCCCGCGGAAATTCATGTGCTCAGGACCCTTGCTGCTCGGGGACCACAGGGCCCTCCCGCTCGAATGAGTGCGCACGGTCCA